GGGGAATTGGGGTCCCCAAAACGTCCCCAAAATGTCCCCACACCCCCCAGGGCCCCCCCAACTCATAGGGACCCCCCCAAAATCCAGGGGAACCCCAAAAACTCCCGGCCGCGCCCCCATAACCTTTGCCCCCACCCCGCCCCCCTAAAATTTGGGGCACTTCTGGGGTCCCCTCGCCCTTTTTGGGGTCTCCCATAAACTTCGGGGTCCCGGCTGGGATTTCGGGCTCCCGGGCGCGGTTTTTGGGGTCCCAGGTTTGGTGGGGTCCGGGAGTTTTTTGGGGTCCCGAAGCTCTTTAAGGGTCCCGGTTTTTTGGGGGGTCCGGGAGGTTTTTGGGGTCCCGGGGCTGTTTTGGGGTCCCAGAGTTTTTCGGGGTCCCGGATGGATTTTGGGATCCCGGTTTTTTTTGGGGTCCCGGGGTTTTTTCTGGTCCGGTTTTTTTGGGGTCCCAGAGGTTTTTTGGCGTCCCGGTTTTGGGTTCTTTTTGGGATCCCGGAGTTTTTTGGGTCCGTTTTTTGTGGTTTTTTTTTTGGGGGGGGGGTACTTCTTTTTTTTTGGGATCCCGGAGTTTTTTTGGGGTCCCGCCTGGGGTTGTGGGTTCTCCTTTTCTGGGGGTCCCGGCTGTGATTTTGGGGCTCTTTTGGGTGCCGAAGTTTTTTTTGGGGCGATTTTCGGGGTCCCCTCCCCCCGTTTCCTGTCCCGGCGGGGCGGAAGCGGCGCGGGTGACGCGGGTGACACGGGGACGGTGACGCGGGGTGGCCGCGGGCACGGCGGGAGGTGACAGGGGCACCGGGAGGTGGCACCGGGACAGGGACAGGGACACCGGGACACCGGGAGGTGGCACCGGGAGTGACACCGGGACACCGGGAGGTGGCACCGGGACAGGGACAGGGGCACCGGGAGTGGCACCGGGACGGGGACAGGGGCACCGGGACACCGGGAGCTGGCAGGGGCCGGTGGCACTCGCTGGTGGCACCGGGGTGGCCGCGGGGGGACGGCGGCGGCTGCAGGTGCGCGGGGAGGGTCGGGGAGACCCCCGGAGCCCTCGCTGTGCCCCTCCCTCTCCCTCTCCCTCTCCCTCTCCTCGCTTTCCTTCCTCCTCCTCCTCCGCTCCCTCCCTCCCTCCTCTGAGCACTTCCTTCCTCCTTCTCTCCTTCCTCCCTCTCTCTCTCTTCCTCCTTCCCTCCCTCGCTCCTCCCGCACTTCCTCCCTCCCTCTCTCCCGCCTCGCCCCCGCTGCCCTCTCCCCGCCTTTCCTCCCCCTTCCTGAAGTCTTCCATCCCTCTCCCCCACCCTTCCTTCCTTCCTTCTTTCCTTCCCTCCATCCCTGTCTCCCTCTCCCTTCCTCCTCCTTCACTCCCTTCCTGACCCTCTCTCCTCCCTCTCCTCCCTCTCCCCAGGGTCTCCCCACGCTATGGTCACCGCGGAGCCGCTGCCCGAGGTCCGGTGGCCGTAGGGAGGGTCCGGCCGTGCCCATGGACCCCCCCAGGGCCCCCCCTGCCCCCCCCGGGGCGCTGCCGGCGCTGGACGCCATCGCCTTCTTGGGGGGAGGGGCCGAGACCCCCGCACGGACACTGCTGACCCCTGCAGTGACCCCTGAGCTGACCCCTGAGCTGACCCCTGCACTGAATGACCGCTGGACACTGACCCCTGCAGTGACCCCTGCAGTGACCCCTGAGCTGACCCCTGAGCTGACCCCTGCAGTGACCATTGCAGTGACCCCTGCAGTGACCCCCGCGCTGACCCCTGCCCCAGCCCCGGCCGCGGTCCCGGACGTGTTCTGGGCCAGCCTGCTCCGTGCCCAGCTGTGTGTCCAGGAGCTCCAGGGGGCCATCGAGGGACAGACGGACACTGGGCACCACCGTGGGCACCACCATGGGCACCACCATGGGCACCACCGTGGGCACCACCACCAGCATGGGGCTGGGAGCGTCTCCCAGGAGCTCCAAGGCCCTGGATCCACGTCTGAGGAGCTCTTCCAGGTGTGCATGGATGAGTCCATGGATGAGTCCATCCCTCCCAAACCCATGGCCGAGGATGAGAACATCTCGCCCAAATCCGTGGCCGCACTGGAGAACATCTTCCAGGTGTCCACAGACGGTTCCATCCCACCCAAATCCATGACCGTGGGTGGGAGCGTCTCCCAGGAGCTCCAAGGCCCTGGATCCACGTCTGAGGAGCTCTTCCAGGTGTGCATGGATGAGTCCATCCCACCCAAACCCATGGCTGAGGATGAGAATGTTCTCCGGGTGTCTGTAGATGGTTCCACCCCACCCAAATCCATGTCCACGTTAGAGAGCATCTTCCAGGTGTCCACAGATGGTTCCAAATCCATGACCGTGGGTGGGAGCATCTCCCAGGAGCTCCAAGGCCCTGGATCCACGTCTGAGGAGATCTTCCAGGCGTCCACAGATGGTTCCATCCCATCCAAGTCCATGCCCATGGATGAGAACGTCTTCCAGGTGTCTGCAGAGGGATCCATCCCACCCAAATCCACGGCCGTGGATGGGAACATCCCACCCAAATCCATGAACATGGATGGGAGCATTTTCCAGGAGCTCCAAGGCCATGGATCCATGCTTGAGGAGCTCTTCCGGGTGTCCATGGGTGTGGACATCCCACCCAAACCCATGGATGAGGACATCCCACCCAAACCCATGGCCCAGGATGAGAGTGTTCTCCAGGTGTCCACAGACGGTTCCATCCCACCCAAATCCATGACCGTGGATGGGAGCATCTCCCAGGAGCTCCGAGGCCATGGATCCACGTTTGAGGACATCCTCAGCATGTCCATGGGTGTGGACTTCCCACCCAAATCCATGCCCATGGACGAGGACACCATTTCCAAGGTGCCTACAGACGGTTCCATCCCACCCAAATCCATGACCGCGGGTGGGAGCATCTCCCAGGAGCTCCGAGGCCATGGATCCACGTTTGAGGAGATCTTCCAGGCGTCCATGGATGAGTCCATCCCACCCCAGGCCGTTCCCGTGGACCAAAGCTCCGAGTTCCTCTTCGGGAGCATCGTGTCCGTGGCTGGGGACGCCTCCCGTGGCCGGGTGACAACGGACGGGGCCAGCCCAGCCAGTCTGGTGGCCACGGATGGGACCGACCCGTCCGAGTGCTGGGACAGGAACGTCTCACCCAACGTCACCAGCGCGGGTGGGGACATCGCAGCCCAGACCGTGACCAGGGATGGAGACGCCTCACCCAAATTCCTCACCACACACGGGACCTTCTCTGCAGAGCACCTGGCCATGGGTTTGGCCATCTTGTCCCAGAACACGGCCTTGGACGTGGCCAGCTTGTCCAAGACTGTGACCACGGGTGGTCCCATCTCCCCCAGACCCATGGCCACGGGAGGTCCCATCTCCCCCAGACCCATGGCCACGGGTGGTCCCATCTCCCCCAGACCCATGGCCATGGATGGTCCCATCTCCCCCAGACCCATGGCCACGGGAGGTCCCATCTCCCCCAAGCCCCAAGCCCCCAAACTCAGCCAGGAGGAAGAGGAAGGTGACGGCGATGATGACGACCACCACGCCAATGATGATCATGATGACCACCATGACCATGATGACCACCATGATGACCTCAGTGACCACAATGACCTAGTTGACCACCATGACCTCGATGACCACCATGATGACAACAATGACTTCAAGGACCTCGATGACCGCCATGACTTCAATGACCACCATGACCATGATGACCACCATGACCTCAATGACCACGATGACCTTGATGACCATGCAGGACCACCCAGAACCCTGGAAATTGGGGACACTCTGGATCCTGATGACCACAATGACCTTGATGACCACCATGACCACAATGACCACGATGACCTTGATGACCATGATGACCTCAACAACCACAATGACCACGATGACCACAATGACCATGATGACCACAATGACCTTGATGACCACCATGACCACAATGACTACAATGGCTGTGATGACCACCATGACCTCAATGACCACGATGACCACGATGACCACAATGACCTTGATGACCACCATGACCACCATGACCACGGTGGCTCCTCCCATGAGGATGAAGACAAGGAGGACCTGGATGAGGAGGACCTTGAGGAGGAGCTGGATGAGGATGAGGAGCCCCATTTCCACACCAACCCCCTGTTCCAGCGCCCGCTGCCCCCGGGGGTGCCCCCCTGGCGCCCCCACGGTGCCACCCTCGGGTGTCACCCCCTGGAGCGGGGTGAGTGTGGTGACCCCAAATTTTGGGGGGGATGGGGTTAATTTGGGGGGGTCCCACCAGTCCTGATGGGAACCCCCCCTTGGTGTCTTCTCCTTCCCCAGGACCACCCAGAACCCTGGAAATTGGGGACACTCTGGATCCACCTCCGGAATTTGGGGATCCCCCGGAATTTGGGGACCTCCCGGAATTTGGGGACCCCCCCTTGGTGTCTTCTCCTTCCCCAGGACCACCCAGAACCCTGGAAATTGGGGACACTCTGGATCCACCTCCGGAATTTGGGGATCCCCCGGAATTTGGGGACCCCCCGGAATTTGGGGACCCCTTGGATCCACCCCTGGAATTTGGGGACCCCCCCAAATGGATGGACCCAGAAGGGGGGGGGCTGGACTCCCCCATCCCCCTGAAGGAGCCCCCCAGTTCCTGGGACCCCCCAGATTTACCCCAAAAGGAGGGACCCCAAAACCCCCAGATTCCCCCAGATTTGCCCCAAAAAGAGGGACCCCAAATCCTCCCAGAACCCCCAAAAGAGGGACCCCAAATCCCCCCAGATTTACCCCAAAAAGGGGGCGACAAAACCGCCCCAGCCCCCCCAAATTTGCCCCTAAAAGAGGGGTCCCAAAGACCCCAAAACCTCCCAGATTGGCCCCAAAACCAGGGACCCCAAAACCTCCCAAGCCCCCCAGATTTACCCCAAAAGGAGGGACCCCAAAGCCCCCCAAATTTACCCCAAAAAGAGGGACCCCAAAACCTCCCAGAAGCCCCAAATGTGCCCCAAAAAGAGGGACCCCAAATCCCCCTAGATTTGCCCCAAAAAGGGAGACCCCAAAACCTCCCCGATTTACCCCAAAAAGAGGGACCCCCAAGACCCCAAATCCCCCCAGATTTGCCCCAAAAATGGGGACCCTTTTTCCTCCCCAAAATTCCCATTTCCCCCCTATTTTTTCCCCCAAAATTCCCATTTTTCACCCCAAAATTGCCCATTTCCCCCCCCAACCCCCCCAATTTTTCCCAAAAATCCTCATTTCCCCCCCCAAAATCCCCATTTTTTCCCAAAATTCTCATTTTTCCCCCCATTTCCCCCCCCAGGGAGGACCCCGTGTCCCTGGCCCGGCGCCTTTTCCGCCTGGACGGGGTCAGGAAGTCCCAGGTGGCCTCGTTCCTGCGCAAGGAGTGAGAGTTTGGGGAAAAAAAGGGGGATTTTGGGAAAAACTGGGGGGAAAATGGGAATTTGGGAAAGAAAATGCGATTTTGGGGGGGAAGAATTGGGATTTTTGGGGGAAAATGGGGAATTTTGGGAGGGGAAATTGGGAATTTAGGGAGGAAAAAAGTGAATCTTTGGGGAAAAAAGAAGATTTTTTAGGTGGGAATGGTGGGATTTTTGGGGATTTTTTTGGGAATTGAGGATTTTTTTGGGGAGTCGAGGGTTTTGGGGTGGGAGTTGAGGGTTTTTGTCCCCAAATTTCGTTGCCAGCACCGAGTTCAGCTCCCGTGTGGCGCAGGAGTACCTGGAGCTCTTCCAGTTCCAGGGAATGAGCCTGGAGCAGGCGCTGAGGTGAGAGCGGGATCCGGGATTTGGGGGGAATTTGGGATTTTTGGGGGAAATTCGGGGATTTGGGGGGAAAATTTGGGATTTTTGGGGGAAATTTGGGGATTTTGGGGGGGAATTTGGGATTTTTGGGGGAAATTTGGGGATTTTGGGGGAAAATTTGGGGATTTTTGGGGGAACTTTCTGTGATTTTTTGGGGGATTTCTGGGAGGGATTTTGGGGGAGATTTGTGGGATTTGGGATTTTTGAGGGGATTTTGGGGGATTTTTGGAGGGAATTTGGGAGGGGTTTGGGGAGATTCTTGGGGATATTTTGGGGGGATTTTTAGGGCATTTTTGGGGGGGATTTGGGGCATTTTTGGAGCAGTTTGTTTTTTTTGGAGAAAAAGGGGGTTTTTAGGGGGAAAATTTGGGAATTTTGGGGGAAAATTGGGGATTTTTGGGGGAAAAGGGGATTGTTGGGGGAAATTTGGGGATTTTGGGGGAAAATTTGGGGATTTTTGGGGGAAATTTCTGTGATTTTTTGGGGGATTTCTGGGAGGGATTTTGGGGGAGATTTGTGGGATTTGGGATTTTTGAGGGGATTTTGGGGGATTTTTGGAGGGAATTTGGGAGGGGTTTGGGGAGATTCTTGGGGATATTTTGGGGGGATTTTTAGGGCATTTTTGGGGGGGATTTGGGGCATTTTTGGAGCAGTTTGGGGTCACTTTTGGGGTGATTTTTGGGGTATTCCCGGCTGGTTTTGGGGTGTTTTTGGGGTATTTTAGGGATGTTTCAGGGGGGATTTTGGGTGAGGAAGCTGCACAAGGATCCCTCCAGGTGAGGCTGGGAGTGCCCAGGTGAGTCCAGGTGGGACAGGTGAGAAATTTGGAAACCCCCAAACCCCAAACCCCCAAACCCCAAAACCCCAAACCCCAAACCCCAAACCCTTTATCCCCCTTTGGGGTCCCTTTGGGGATTTTGGGGCCCGTTTTAGGGGATTTGGGGTCCCCTAAAACCCCAAATCCCCCCAGACTCCGTTCACGCCCTCACCTGCGCCCTGATGCTGCTCAACACCGACCTGCACGGCCAGGTGAGGCACCCCAAAAAAAAACCCAAAAAAACCCCAAAAATGACCCTAAACGGCCCAAAATAACCCCAAATCCACAAATGCCCCAGAAACCCCCCCAAATATCCCAAAACAACCCCAAAAGTGACCCCAAATCCACCCCAAATCCCCCAAAATCCAACGGAGCTCACGGCCGGGTGAGGCCACCCCAAAAAAAAACCCCAAAAATGACCCTAAATACCCCAAAAAACCCCAAATCCCCTAAAATTTTGGGGTGAATCATCCCCAGGTTCCCTTTTGGGGTTTTTCCCCATTTTTGAGGTGATTTTGGGGCACAATTGGAGCTTTTTTACATTTGTGGGTTGATTTTGAGGCAGATTTTGGGGTGGGTCTGACCCAGGAGTCCTTTTTGGGGTTTTCCTAATTTTTGGGGTGACTTAGGGGCATATTTTGGGATTTTCGCCATTTTTGGGGTTATTTTGGGTCAGATTTGGGTTTTTCCCATTTTTGGGGTGACTTTGGGTCAGATTTTGGGTCAGATTTTGGGTTTTTTCCCGTTTTGGGGGTGATTTTGGCTCAGAATTTGGGTCAGATTTTGGTTTTTTCCCCGTTTTTGGGGTGATTTTGGCTCAGAATTTGGGTCAGATTTTGGGTTTTTTTCCCATTTTTGGTTTGATTTTGGGTCAGATTTGGGTTTTTTCCCCGTTTTTGGGGTGATTTTGGCTCAGATTTTGGGTCAGAATTTGGGGTTTTTTCCCGTTTTTGGGGTGATTTTGGCTCAGAATTTGGTTTTTTCCCCATTTTTGGTGTGATTTTGGGTCAGAATTTGGGGTTTTTCCTGTTTTTGGGGTGATTTTGGTTTGATTTTGGGTCAGAATTTGGGTTTTCCCCGTTTTTGGGGTGACTTTGGGTTTTCCCGTTTTTGGGGTGACTTGGGGTAGGAATTTGGGTCAGAATTTGGGGTTTTTCCCCGTTTTTGGGATGATTTTGGGTCAGAATTTGGGTTTTTTCCCCGTTTTTGGCCGGCCCTGCCGCCCGCAGCGCCTGGGCCGGGCCATGAGCAGCTCCGAGTTCGTGACCAACCTGAGCGGGATGATGGACGGCCAGGACTTCCCCCGGGAGCAGCTCAAGGTACCCAAAAACCCCAAAAAAAACCTCAAAAATCCCAAAACTGGGATTTTCCTACAAGAAAAACGAGAAATAAAAAAAAAAAACCCAAAAAAAAACAGCGGGAAAATCTTAAAAATGGGGGGTGGGACCCTAAAAAATCCTAAAAAGGTCCCCAAAGAAGTCCCCAAAAAAATCCCCAAAAAATACAAGAAAAACGAAAAAAAAAAAAAAAACCCAAAAAAAAAACAGCGGGAAAATCTTAAAAATGGGGGGTGTGACCCTAAAAAATCCTAAAAAGGTCCCCAAAGAAGTCCCCAAAAAAAACCTAAAAAAAATCCCAAAAAAATCTGAAAAAATCACGAAAAACCCTAAAAAATTCCCCAAAAAATCCCCTAAAAATCTTTAAAAAAAAAATCAGAAAAAAATCATACAAAAATCTAAAAAAAATCACAGAAAAACCCGAAAAAAATCCGAAAAAAATCCCAGAAAAATCCCCAAAAAATCTGAAAAAATCCCGAAAAACCCTAAAAAAATTCCCCAAAAAATCCCCTAAAAATCTTTAAAAAAAAAAAATCCAAAAAAAATCACAGAAAAACCCGAAAAAAAAATCCCAAAAGAATCCCAGAAAAATCCCCAAAAAATATCCCCAAAAAATCTCAAAAACATCCCTAAAAACTCCCAAAAAATCTCAGAAAAATCCTAAAAAAAATCCCAATTTCCCCCCTCAGGCTCTGTACGGCTCCATCCGAAGCCGGAAACTGGAGTGGGCAACGTGAGCGGGGATTTGGGGGAAATTTGGGGGGGTTTGGTTGAATTTTCTGGGATTTTGGGGGATTTGAGTGGGAATTTGTGGGATTTGGGTTGGACTTTGTGGGATTTGGGTTGGATTTTGTGGATTTAAATTGGAATTTATGGGATTTGGGTTGGATTTTATAGAATTTTGGTGCAGAATTTATGGGATTTTATGGGATTTTGTGCTGGATTTTATGGGATTTTGTGGGATTTGGGTCAGATTTTCCTGGCTTTTATGGGATTTTGGCACTGGATTTATGGGAATGTGGTTGGGTTTTGTGGGATTTGGGTCGGATTTTGTGGGATTTCTGCTGTTTCCCCACCAATTAATGGGATTTTTGTTGGGATTTTCACAGGGACGACGAGGACGAGCCCGGAGCCGATTCCCAAAAGCCCAAAAAAGCCCCGAAATTCCCAAATCCCGAAATTCCCCCGGAGTTTCTGGGGGGCTCCGGCCCCGCCCGCAGGGGGGTCCTGGCCAGGAAGGTCCTGGCAGAGAGCGACGGCAAAAAGGGTCGGTCGGGGGGATTTGGGGAATTTGGGGGATTTAACGGGATTTGGGGTGGGGTTGGGGGAATTTCATGGGATTTGAGCCGGATTTGGGGGAATTCCATGGGATTTTGGAGGAATTTAATGGGATTTGTGGGAAATTAACGGGATTTTGTAGGAATTTCATGGGATTTGGGGTGGATTTAATGGGATTTTGTGGGGAAATTAATGGGATTTTATGGGGAATATAATGGGATTTTATGGGGAATTTAATGGGATTTTGTGGGAATTTAATGGGATTTTATGGGGAATTTAATGGGATTTTGTGGGAATTTAATGGGATTTTGTGGGAAATTAATGGGATTTGGGGTGGATTTAATGGGATGTTGTGGGAATTTAATGGGATTTTGTGGGGAAATTAATGGGATTTTATGGGGAATTTAATGGGATTTTATGGGGAATTTAATGGGATTTTGTGGGAATTTAATGGGATTTGGGCTGGATTTCATGGGATTTCGGGTGGATTTCCTGGCATTTTGTTGGGCCCATGTTGGGATTTCACCGTTTTTGGGTTTTCCCCCCCAGCTCCCTGGGGCCGGCGGGGCTGGTTTGGGGTGGATTTTGTGGGAATTTAATGGGATTTGGGCTGGATTTCATGGGATTTCGGGTGGATTTCCTGGCATTTTGTTGGGACCATGTTGGGATTTCACCACTTTTGGGTTTTTCCCCCCCCCAGCTCCCTGGGGCCGGCGGGGCTGGTTTGGGGTGGATTTTGTGGGAATTTCATGGGATTTTGGGTGCATTTAATGGGATTTTGTGGGGATTTAATGGGATTTTGTTGGGAATATTTTGGGATTTCACCATTTTTTTTTGGGTTTTTTCCCCCCCAGCTCCCTGGGGCCGGCGGGGCTGGAAGCGTTTCCGGGCCGAGCTGCGGGGGTCGCTGCTGCTGCTGCAGAGGGACCCCCCCGAGGGCCCCCAGGAGGTTTTGGGGCTGCCCCACGCCCTGGCCCGGCCCCACCCCAAATACAGCAAGCGCCCCAACGTGTTCCTGCTGCGCGCCGCCGACCGGCGCGAGTTCCTCTGCCAGGCCCAGTAAGGCACCCCAAAAACGCCAGCGGGGGGAGAAAGGGTGAAAAAGGGAGGAAATCCCCCCAAAAAAATGGGAAATACAAAAAAAAAATCCCGTGAGGATAAAGGGTGAAAAGTGGCAAGTGTGGGGAAAATGGAAAATCCTAAAAAAGGGTGAAATGAGGTGAGAAGTGTAATGGTAAAAAGATCTGTCAAATCTTAAAAAAGTCCCAAAGGTGATGAAGAAATGGTAAATCCTAAAAATAATCCTGAAAGGGTAAATGGCTTGGAAAGGGTAAAAAAAAAAATCTAAATGGTAAAGAAATCCTATATACTAAAAAAACCCAAATCCTAAAAAAAAACCCTAAAAAAATCCCAATCATAAAAAAATCCCAAATCCTAATTTAAAAAAAAAAAAAAAAAAAACCAAAAAAAAAAAAATCCCAATCCTAAAATAATTCCCAAATCCTTAAAAAAAAAAAAAAATCCTAAAAAAATCCTAAAAACTAAACAAAAAAAAAAAAAAAAAAAAAATCCTAAAAAAAACCCTTAAAAATAACTTGGGATATTTTTGGGGTATTTTTGGGATTTTTTGGGGTATTTTGGGGGTATTATTGGGGTGAAATTGGGGTATTTTTGGGAGGTATTTTGGGGGTAATTTTGGGGGATTTTAGGGATTTTTGGGGGTATTCTTTGGGATATTTTTGGGATTTTTTGAGACTATTTTTAGAGGTATTCTTGGGGTATTTTTGGGATATTTTTGGGGCACCTTTGTGGGTTTTTTGGGGCCCTCTGGGGTTTTTTTGCAATATTTGGGGTTTGTGCGCCGTGCGCGGCGTCGCGGTGACGTCACGGTGACGTCACGGTGACGTCACAGGAGCCCCCTGGAGCTGTCCCAGTGGGTGTTCGGGATCAACGTGGCCGCCGCCCTCTGCTCGTCGCCGCCGTTCCCCGCGGCCGTCGGCTCCCGGCGCCGCTTCGTGAGACCCATCCTGCCCTCGGCGCCCAGCCGCTGCCCCCCGGTGAGAAACGCCCCAAAAACACCCCAAAAATATCCTAAAAACCCAAAAAACCCCAGTGAAATATCACAAACCCCAAATCCCCCAATCCCATCCTGCCCTCGGCGCCCAGCCGCTGCCCCCCGGTGAGAAACACCCCAAAAACAGCCCAAAAATACCCCAAAAATATCCTAAAAACCCAAAAAACCCCAGTGAAATATCACAAACCCCAAATCCCCCAATCCCTTGGGGTATTTTGGGGGTATTATTGGGGTGAAATTGGGGTATTTTTGGGAGGTATTTTGGGGGTAATTTTGGGGGATTTTGGGGATTTTTGGGGGTATTCTTTGGGATATTTTTGGGATTTTTTGGGACCATTTTTAGAGGTATTCTTGGGGTATTTTTGGGATATTTTTGGGGCACCTTTGTGGGTTTTTTGGGGCCCTCTGGGGTTTTTTTGCAATATTTGGGGTTTGTGCGCCGTGCGCGGCGTCGCGGTGACGTCACGGTGACGTCACGGTGACGTCACAGGAGCCCCCTGGAGCTGTCCCAGTGGGTGTTCGGGATCAACGTGGCCGCCGCCCTCTGCTCGTCGCCGCCGTTCCCCGCGGCCGTCGGCTCCCGGCGCCGCTTCGTGAGAGCCATCCTGCCCTCGGCGCCCAGCCGCTGCCCCCCGGTGAGAAACGCCCCAAAAACACCCCCAAAACCCAAAAAATCCTATTGAAATATCCCATATCCCATGGAAACCCCAATGCCATCCTGCCCTCGGCGCCCAGCCGCTGCCCCCCGGTGAGAAACACCCCAAAAACAGCCCAAAAATACCCCAAAAATATCCTAACCCCAAATCCCCCAATCACATCCTGCCCTCGGCGCCCAGCCGCTGCCCCCCGGTGAGAAACACCCCGAAAATCCCATTAAAAATATCCTAAAAACCCAAAACACCCCATTGAAATACCCAAAAACCCCCAAATTCCCCAACAGAAACACCCAAAACCCCATGCCATATGCCATGGAAACCCCAAATCCCAAAAAACCCCAAAATCACATAAAAATATCCCAAAAACCGAAAAAATCCCAAAACCCCCAAATATGTCCCCAGTGTCCCTGTGCCACCCCAGTGTCCCCATTGGTGTCCCCAGGAGCAGCAGCTGTGCCAGCTGCACCCCTGGCTGAGGACAGTGACCCCGATGTCCCTGTGCCACCCCAATGTCCCCAATGTCCCCAGGAGCAGCAGCTGTGCCAGCTGCGCCGCTGGCTGGGGACAGTGACCCCGATGTCCCCGATGTCCCTGTGCCACCCCAATGTCCCCAATGTCCCCAATGTCCCCAGGAGCAGCAGCTGTGCCAGCTGCGCCGCTGGCTGGGGACGGTGACGTGCCAGCTCCTGGAGCACCAGCGGCTCCTGCCCGAGGGACGGGGACGGGAGCAGGAGGAGCACCGGGCACACGGGGACTTCCTGAGGGACGAGGTGACACTGGGGACATGGGGACAGTGGGGACAGTGGGGACATGGGGGACAGTGGGGACAGTGGGGACAGTGGGAACATGGGGACTTCCTGAGGGACGAGGTGACACTGGGGACATGGGGACATGGGGGACAATGGGGGACACCGGGCACATGGGGACACTGGGGACATGGGGACAGTGGGGACAGTGGGAACATGGGGGACAATGGGGGACACCGGGCACACGGGGACTTCCTGAGGGATGAGGTGACATTGGGGACATGAGGGACAATGGGGACACGGGGACTTCCTGAAGGACGAGGTGACATTGGGGACATGAGGGACAATGGGGACAGTGGGGACATGGGGACTTCCCAAGGGACGAGGTGACACTGGGGACAATGGGGTGGCACAGGGACTTTGGGGGATTGGGGACACTGGGGGCAACAAGGACACCGGGCACACTGGGACTTCCTGTGCCAGGAGGTGACACTGGGGACACTGGGGTGGCACAGGGGACAATGGGGACATTGGGGTGGCACAGGGGACAATGGGGACACTGGGGACAGAGGGACTTCCTGCTGCAGGAGGTGACAACGAGGAGACTGAGGACAGAAGGGACATTGGAGGGATGGGGACACTGGGGACAGGGTGACACCGTGACACTGGAAGGTGCCACCGAGGTGACTCGGGTGTGACACGGTGACACTGGGAGGTGACCCGGGGGGGTGACACGGTGACATTGGGGGGTGCCACCTCGGTGCCACCCTGGTGACCCGCGTGTCCCTGTCCCCGCAGCGCCAGCGCTGCCTCACCTACGTGCAGGCGCTGGGGACGTGGCTGCGCGGGGACAGCGGGGACAGCGCCACCCTTGGGGACAGCCAGGAGCTCGGGGACATCCCCGAGCGCCCCCTTGGGGACAGCCCGGAGTGTCCCCACGTCCCCGCGCCGCTCACCAAGTGCCACTCGAGCCCCTCGCTGGCCCCGGAGCCGCCCCTGGGCCGCGTGCGGCGCCACATCTCGGAGCGCAGGGCCACCCGTGTCACCGTCCCCAAGCGCCACCGGGACCGCCCGGGACTGTCCCCAGGGCCACCGGGACTGTCCCCAGGGTCACTGGGACTGTCCCCAGGATCACTGGGACTGTCCCCAGGGTCACTGCCACATCTCGGAGCGCAGGGCCACCCGTGTCACCGTCCCCAAGCGCCACCGGGACCGCCCGTGACTGTCCCCAGGGCCACCGGGAGTGTCCCCAGGGCCACTGGAACTGTCCCCAGGGTCACCGGGACTGTCCCCAGGGTCACCAGGACTGTCCCCAGGGCCATCGGGACTGTCCCCAGGGTCACTGGGACTGTCCCCAGGGTCACTGCCACATCTCGGAGCGCAGGGCCACCCGTGTCACCGTCCCCAAGCGCCACCGGGACCGCCCGTGACTGTCCCCAGGGCCACTGGGACTGTCCCCAGGGTCACTGCCACATCTCGGAGCGCAGGGCCACCCGTCTCACCATCCCCAAGCGCCACCGGGACCGCCCGTGACTGTCCCCAGGGCCACCGGGAGTGTCCCCAGGGCCACTGGAACTGTCCCCAGGGTCACCGGGACTGTCCCCACGGCCACCAGGACTGTCCCCAGGGCCACCAGGACTGTCCCCAGGATCACCGGGACTGTCCCCAGGGCCACCAGGACTGTCCCCAGGGTCACCAGGACTGTCCCCAGGGCCACTGGGACTGTCCCCAGGGTCACCGGGACTGTCCCCAGGGTCACCAGGACTGTCCCCAGGGCCATCGGGACTGTCCCCAGGGTCACTGGGACTGTCCCCAGGGTCACTGCCACATCTCGGAGCGCAGGGCCACCCGTGTCACCGTCCCCAAGCGTCACCGGGACCGCCCGTGACAGACCTGGATTGTCCCCCAGGATTGTCCCCAAGTGCCACCCGGACCGGCTGTGACACCCCCGTGGGGACCCTGCCACCAAGTGCCACCCCAGGGACAAAGGACGCTCCCAATGTCCCCTCCCCCAGTGTCCCCATTGCTGTCCCCAATGTCCCCTCCCCTCCGGTACGAGGCTTTTGGGGGGTCCCGCTCTGAGCCCCCCCCCCGGGATTGGGAACAACTCAGGGAAATCCCAACAATCCCAAAAACCCCGTTCCCAAAATTCCCAAATTCCCATAAATCCCAATCCCAAAAATCCCCAAATTCTTAAAATCCCATTCCCAAAAATCCCCAAATTCTTAAAATCCCATTCCCAAAAATCCCATTCCCAAAAATCCCCAAAAAATCCCATTCCCAAAGGAATTTGGGGGGAATTTTGGGATTTTGGGGGAGGATTTGGGATTCCCCCGCTGCGGCTGTGCAATAAAGGTTCAGAATTCTGGAATTTTGGAGAATTTTGGGATGGGGGAGGGAGGGATTCCTGAGCCTGGAGATTTCAGCTTTTCCCAAATTCCCAAAAAAAACCGCCGCAAAATCCCAAAAGAACTCCTGGATCCCAAATTCCTTGGACCCCAAACTCTTGGGATCCCAAACTCCTGGATCCCAAATTCCCCAATCCCAAACTCCTGGATCCCAAACCCCCGGATCCAAACTCCTGGGTCCCAAATTCCCAGACCTCAAATTCCCCGATCCCAAACCCATGGACCCCGAATTCCCCAATCCCAAACTCCTGGATCCCAAACCCCTCCATGGATCCCAAACCCCTCCATGGATCCCAAACCCCTCCATGGATCCCAAAGCCCTCAGTGGATCCCAAAGCCCTCGATGGATCCCAAACCCCTCAATGGATCCCAAAGCCCCCAGTGGATCCCAAACCCTCAGTCGATCCCAAACCCCTCAGTCGATCCCAAGCTCCCCAGCGGATCCCAAAGCCCTCAGTGGATCCCAAACCCCTCAGTCCATCCCAAATCCCAAATCCCTCAGTTGATCCCAAACCCCTCGATGGATCCCAAACCCCCCAGCGGATCCCAAAGCCCTCGATGGATCCCAAACCCCCCAGTGGACCCCAAAGCCCTCAGTCGATCCCAAACCCCTCGATGGATCCCAAACCCCTCAATCAATCCCAAACCCCTCAGTCGATCCCAAGCTCCCCAGCGGATCCCAAGGCCTCGATGGATCCCAAACCCTCAGTCGATCCCAAACCCCTCAGTGGATCCCAAACCCCCCAGTGGATCCCAAAGCCCTCGATGGATCCCAAACCCTCAGTCGATCCCAACCCCCCCAGTGGATCCCAAAGCCCTCAATGGATCCCAAAGCCCCCAGTGGATCCCAAAGCCTCGATGGATCCCAAGCTCCCCAGCGGATCCCAAAGCCTCGATGGATCCCAAGCTCCTGTCGGGTCCCTGTGGGATCCGGGGGTTTTGGGCCACCCTGGTTTTTATTGGCTGTGGGGCAGGACTGGACCCCGAACCCAGCCCGGCCCCACAAACCCCACAGGGAGGGACACGAGGACGGGCTGGGGACACTGCGGGGCCTGGGGACGTGGGGAGGGTCGGGAGAACTTGAGAGAGTTCTGGAGGATATCTGGGAAGGTTTTGTAGAACACTGAATGGTCCTGGAGAACCCTGGGTGATCCTGCAGGCCATGGGAGGGTCCTGGAGACCCCCAAGATCTCCTGGAGGTCCCCGAGGTGTCCTGGAGGTCCCCGGAAGGTTCTGGAGGCCATGGGAAGGTTCTGGAGAACACTGGGTGATCCTGGATGCCCTTGAGGTGCCCTGGAGGACACAGGAAACTTCTGGAGGCCATGGGAGGTCCCTGGAGGTCCCCATGGTGCCCCGGAGGCCATGGGGAGGTTGTGGAGAGCATTGGGTGATCCTGGAGGCCATGGGAGGTCCCTGGAGGTCCCCTCGGTGCCCCGGAGGTCCCCAAGGTGTCCCTGGAGGTCCCCATGGTGCCCCAGAGGTCCCCAAGGTGTCCCAGAGGTCCCCTTGGTGTCCTGGAGGTCCCCATGGTGCCCCAGAGGTCCCCAAGGTGTCCCTGGAGGTCCCCAAGGTGTCCCAGAGGTCCCCAAGGTGTCCCAGAGGTCCCCTTGGTGTCCTGGAGGTCCCCACGGTGCCCCAGAGGTCCCCAAGGTGTCCCGGAGGTCCCCTCGGTGCCCCAGAGGTCCCCAAGGTGTCCCGGAGGTCCCCTCGGTGCCCCGGAGGTCCCCAAGGTGTCCCTGGAGGTCCCCGTGGTGCCCCAGAGGTCCCCATGGTGCCCCGAAGGTCCCCAAGGTGCCCTGGAGATCCCCTCGGTGCCCCGGAGGTCCCCTCGGTGCCCCGGAGGTCCCCATGGTGCCCCGGAGGTCCCCAAGGTGCCCTGGAGGTCCCCAAGGTGTCCCTGGAGGTCCCCTTGGTGCCCCAGAGGTCCCCAAGGTGTCCTGGAGGTCCCCGTGGTGCCCCGGAGGTCCCCGTGGTGCCCCAGAGGTCCCCTCGGTGCCCCGGAGGTCCCCGTGGTGTCCCTGGAGGTCCCCAAGGTGTCCCTGGAGGTCCCCCAGAGGTCCCCAAGGTGCCCCGGAGGTCCCCGTGGTGTCCCCGGTGCGGCTCAGAGGCCGTCGGGGCGCTGGTAGTGCCAGAAGGCGATGTCCCCGTCGTCCCCGCAGGAGGCCAGCAGCCCCGGCTCCCGCGGGTGCCAGGCCACGCCGTTGGCGTCCTGGGCGTGCGCCCGCGGCACGTGGGCGGCCAGGCTGAACGTCACCGGAGAGCCCGGGGCCACCGGGGCCACCTCCTCGAACACCCGCACCGCGTCGTCGCCGCACGCCGTGGCCACCGCGCCCGTCAGGTGGCACCTGCGGGGACAGGGAGGGTCACGGAGGGGACAGGGGACAGGTGGCACCTGGCAGGGACAGGGGACAGGGGTCAGGGAAGGGCGAGGTGGCACCTGGGGTGATAGAGGGGACAGGTGGCACTGTGGGGCACAGGAAGGGGACAGAGGGGTCAGGGAGGTGGCACCTGGAGGGTCACAGGGCCCCAGTGAGGTGTCCCCAGGTCTCTCCAGTGTCCCCAGATGTCCCCAATGTCCCCAGTGCTCACCAGGCCACGTCGTAGATGCTGCGCCCGTGGTACCCGGACAGGGTGCAGACACACTGCCAGCTGTGCTCCGAGCCACTGCCTGGGGACACATGGGGGACACATGGGGGACATCGGGGACATGGGGGACATTGGGGACATCGGGGACAGCGGGAACATCGCAGTGCCCAGCCCCACAGGGTGCGGTCATTGCTGCAGGACACCAGCCCTGTCCCCTGTCCCCATGTCCCCTGTCCCCAGTGTCCCCATGTCCCTGTCCCCATGTCCCCAGTGTCCCCATGTCCCTGTCCCCATGTCCCCATGTCCCTCACCGTGCCCCTGGGCGCGCTGCCACACGCGCAGGGTGCGGTCATCGCTGCAGGACACCAGGCCTGTCCCCATGTCCCTGTCCCCATGTCCCCATGTCCCTGTCCCCATGTCCCTGTCCCCCTGTCCCCATTGTCCCCCTCTCCCTGCTCCCCGGTCCCCATGTCCCGGCCCAGTGTCCCCAGTGTCCCCATGTCCCTGTCCCCATGTCCCTGTCCCTCACCGTGCCCCTGGGCGCGCTGCCACACGCGCAGGGTGCGGTCATCGCTGCAGGACACCAGGCCTGTCCCCATGTCCCCAGTGTCCCCAGTGTCCCCATGTCCCTGTCCCCATGTCCCTGTCCCTCACCGTGCCCCTGGGCGCGCTGCCACACGCGCAGGGTGCGGTCATCGCTGCAGGACACCAGGCCTGTCCCCATGTCCCCAGTGTCCCCAGTGTCCCCATGTCCCTGTCCCCATGTCCCTGTCCCTCACCGTGCCCCTGGGCGCGCTGCCACACGCGCAGGGTGCGGTCATCGCTGCAGGACACCAGGCCTGTCCCCATGTCCCCAGTGTCCCCAGTGTCCCCATGTCCCTGTCCCCATGTCCCTGTCCCTCACCGTGCCCCTGGGCGCGCTGCCACACGCGCAGGGTGCGGTCATCGCTGCAGGACACCAGGCCTGTCCCCATGTCCCCAGTGTCCCCAGTGTCCCCATGTCCCTGTCCCCATGTCCCTGTCCCTCACCGTGCCCCTGGGCGCGCTGCCACACGCGCAGGGTGCGGTCATCGCTGCAGGACACCAGGCCTAGTGTCCCCATGTCCCCATGTCCCCTGTCCCCATGTCCCTGTCCCCATGTCCCTGTCCCTCACCGTGCCCCTGGGCGCGCTGCCACACGCGCAGGGTGCGGTCATCGCTGCAGGACACCAGGCCTGTCCCCATGTCCCCAGTGTCCCCAGTGTCCCCATGTCCCTGTCCCCATGTCCCCATGTCCCTGTCCCCATGTCCCTGTCCCCATGTCCCCAGTGTCCCCATGTCCCTGTTCCCCTGTCCCCATGTCCCTGTCCCCATGTCCCTGTTCCCATGTCCCCATGTCCCTGTCCCCTGTCCCCATGTCCCTCACCGTGCCCCTGGGCGCGCTGCCACACGCGCAGGGTGCGGTCATCGCTGCAGGACACCAGGCCTGTCCCCATGTCCCCAGTGTCCCCATGTCCCTGTCCCTCACCGTGCCCCTGGGCGCGCTGCCATACGCGCAGGGTGCGGTCATCGCTGCAGGACACCAGGCGCTGGCCGGAGCGCTCCCAGGCCACGGCCCAGACGGTGGACGTGTGTCCCTCCAGGGTGGCACAGCACACCCAGTCGTCCTCGTCCTCGCGGTACAGCCGCACCGTGTCGTCGTAGCTGGCGCTGGCCAGCAGCTGGGGACAGCAATGGGGACACTGGGGACAGGGACAGGAGACCCTGGCAGGTTTTGGGGGCCTGGGGTTCCTGTGGGAGTTTGGGGTGTCCCCAGGTGTATCCCAGGGGTGTCTCAGCTGCCCCCGGGTGTCCCAAGTGTGTCCCCAAGTGTCCCAGGTCCCCCCAGCTGTGTCCCCAGGCCACGCCCGGGCCCCCTCAGGCTCCCCCAGGTCTGTCCCCAGGTCCCCCAAGCTACTCCCAGATGTGTCCCCATGTCCCCCAGGTGTCCCCGTGTCCCGCAGGTGTCCCTGTGTCCCCATGTCCCCCAGGTGTCCCCAGGGGTCCCCATGTCCCCCATGTCCCCCAGGTGTCCCCAGGTGTCCCCATGTCCCCCAGGTGTCCCTGTGTCCCCCAGGTGTGCCCCTGTCCCCCAGGTGTCCCCAGGTGTCCCCAGGGGTCCCAATGTCCCCCAGGTGTCCCCCTGTCCCCCAGGTGTCCCTGTGTCTCCGTGTCCCCCAGGTGTCCCCATGTCCCCCAGGTGTCCCCAGGTGTCCCCAGGTGTCCCCGTGTCCCCGGGTACCTCCTGGCTGGGGTGCCACACCACGTGTTTGACGTCCTGGCTGTGGGCGCTCAGCACGCTGACGCACTCGAACTCCTGCTCCTCCTCGTCCACTGAGGGGACAGGGGACAGTGAGGGGACAGCAGGGGGACAGGGGACACCGAGGGGACACCGAGGGGACACCGAGGGGACAGCGGGCAGAGCTCACCCTCCCACACCCAGACGCTCTTGTCACGGCTGCAGGTGGCCAGCAGCGACCCCGAGGGCGCCCAGGCCACCGACTTCACCTCGTTCTCGTGTCCCTCCAGCGTGGCCACCACCTGCGGGGACGGGGCACCGTGGTGACACGGCGGGGAAGGGTCTGGGGGGCACGGGGGGCAACAGGGGCGTGGAGCTGACAGTGAGGGGGTACACACGTAACACTGAGGTGACACAAGTGACAAGGGGGGGGCGCCCAGGTGACAATGGGGGTGTATGGGTGACACTGAGGGCACACAGGTGACACGAGGGGATATACAGGTGACATCAGGGTGACACAGGTGACACTGGTGGTGTGACAGGTGACAATGGGGGGGTGCACAGGTGACATTGAGGGCACACAGGGGACACTGAGAGCACACAGGTAACACAGGTGACACGAGGGGATACACAGGTGACACAGGTGACACAGGTGACACGAGGGGGTGACACAGGTGACTCAGGGTGACATAGGTGACGCTGAGGGGATACACAGGTGACACCGGGGTGACACGGGTGACACGAGGGGGTGACACAGGTGACACGAGGGGATACACGGCTGACACCAAGGGGATACACAGATGACACCGGGGTGACACAGGTGACACCGGGGTGACACTGGGGTGACACAGGTGACACCGGGTGACACGAGGGGGTGACAGAGGTGACACTGAGGTGACACAGGTGACACTGAGGGGTGACACTGGGGTGACACAGGTGACACCGGGTGACACGGGTGACATGAGGGGGTGACACAGGTGACACTGGGGTGACACAGGTGACACCGGGTGACACGAGGGGTGACACAGATGACACCGGGGTGCCACAGGTGACACACAGGTGACAAGAGGGAGTGACATGTGCCACAGGAGGTGACACATGAGGTGACACAGGTGACACACAGGTGACACACAGGTGACACAGCAGTGACACAGGAGGTGACACAGAGGTGACACCCAGGTGTCCCCGGGTGGCAGCGCCCACCTGGGGTCGGCCACCAGGCAGGCGGTGACGCCGTCGAAGCCGAGGCGCGGCGCCGCCACCGCGGCCGCCGCCATGGTGTTGACGTTGTTGGGGACGAGGGGACAGAGCGGCCGAGGTGACACTGAGGTGACACAGGTGACACCGGGGTGACACAGGTGACACTGGGGTGACACAGGTGACACACAGGTGACAAGAGGGAGTGACATGGGTGACACGAGGGGATACACAGGTGACACTGGGGTGACACGAGGGGATACACAGATGACACCAGGGTGACACAGGTGACACAAAGGTGACACCGGGGTGACACAGGTGACAAGAGGGGATACACAGGTGACACCAGGGTGACACGAGTGACACGAGGGGGAGACACAGATGACACCGGGGTGACACAGGTGACACCGAGGGGATACACAGGTGACACGGGTGACACGAGGGGATACACAGGTGACACTGGGGTGACACGAGGGGGCCGTGTCCCACCTCGAAGCCGTGCTCGTGGCGCCTCCAGACGCACGTGGTGCCGTCGAAGCTGGCCGAGGCCAGGAACTGCCCGCACGGCGACCACGCCACCCTGCGCACCGTGCGCTGGTGCCCGTCCGCCAGCACCGCGCGGCACGCCCAGCCCGAGCCTGGCACGGGACACGGGACACTCAGGGGACACCGGGACACAGCCCTGCCCCAGCACCGCCCAGCCCGAGCCTGGCACGGGACACGGGACACTCAGGGGACACCGGGACACCGGGACACAGCCCTGCCCCAGCACCGCCCAGCCCGAGCCTGGCACCGGGCACGGGACCCTCAGGGGACACCGGGACACAGCCCTGCCAGCCCGGTGTCCAGCCCGGTTCCCCCGCACGGTGTGCTCCCGGTTTGCCCACATCCTCATGGTGCGGTCCCGTTCCCATTCCCGGTCCCACCGGGACACCGGGACACAGCCCTGCCAGCCCGGTGTCCAGCCCGGTTCCTCCGTACGGTGTGCTCCCGGTTTCCCCACATCCTCATGGCGCGGTCCCATTCCCATTCCCGGTCCCGGTCCCGGTCCCCGCTCACCCTCACGGCCCCACACGCGCACGGTGCGGTCCCATTCCCATTCCCGGTTTCCCCGGTCCCCGCTCACCCTCACGGCCCCAGACCCGCACGGTGCGGTCCCCGCCGCAGGACGCCAGCAGGGCCCCGCTGGGGCTCCAGGCCAGGGCCCAGCAGCGGGACTCGGGGTGCGCGGACACCCGGCACAGCAGCGACAGCGCCTCGGGCATGGACGCACGGCACCGGCACCGGCACCGGCACGGGCACGGGCACGGGCACGGGCACCGACTGCCCCACCGGAAGCGGAACCGGAGCGGCGCCGGAAGCGGAACCGAGCAGGAAGCGGAAGCGCGGCGGGCGGGGCGGGGCCGTGAGGAGGGCCCGGAGGCGCTGCCGGGGCCCGGCGGGGTCGGGATCGACACCGGTGCCGGTGCCGGCACCGCCTGTCCCGGGGCCGCTCTCGGCGTGTCCGGGCCGGGCTCAGCGCGTTCGGAGCGACCGGGATCGGTGTCGGGGACCGGGACCGGTGTCGGAAGCCACTGCCGGTGAAGCCGGGACGGGTGTCAGGGTCCGGGAGCCGGTGCCGGTTATCCCGGAGCGGCTGTCCGTGACGCGGGGAGGGCGCCGCGAGTCGGGAACCGGTACCGGTTATCCCGGGACGGGTGTGGGGGTCCCGGAGCCGGTACCGGTGACCCGGAGCGGCTGTCAGTGCCTCGGTACCGGTGACCGGGGCGGGTGCGGGTGTTGCTGGGCCGGTACCGGTGACCCGGGGCGGGTGTGTGTTATCTCGGAGCCGGTCCCGGTGACTCGGAGCCGGTGTCAGTGCCCCGGTACCGGGACCCGGGGCAGGCGTCAGTGAATCAGAGCCGGTACCGGGACCCGGGGCCGGTGTTGCTGCGCCGGTACCGGTGACCTGGAGCCGGTGTCCGTTACCCCACTGCCCATCCCAGTCCTGGTGACCCGGAGCCGGTGTCGCTGCCCCGGTCCCGGTGACCCGGAGCCACTGTCCATAACCCAGTGCCGGTCCCGGTGCCATTCCCGGTTCCATTCCCGGTACCGGTGGCGCAGCCTGGCGTCGGCGCTGCCGGGGGCGCTGGCCATCACCGCGCTCTGCACCGCGCTGGCCGAGCCCGCCTGGCTGCGCATCCACGGCGGCACCTGCGCCCGCCAGGAGCTGGGCGTGGCCGACGTGCTGGGCTTCGTGCAGCCCGAGCTGCTGCGAGGTGAGCGCCGCGGCTGCCGGAACCTTCCGGAACCTTCCGTGCCCTTGTGTGCCTTCTGGCCCTTCCGGAGCCTTCCGTCCCTTCTATCCCTTCTGGAACCTTCTATCCCTTCCGGACCCTTCCGTCCCTTCTGGAACCTCCTGTCCCTTCCGGAACCTTCCGTCACTTCTGTGCCTTCTGTCCCTTCCGGAACCTTCCATCCCTTCCGGAACCTTCCGTGCCCTTCTGTGCCTTCTGTGCCTTCCGGAGCCTTCCGTCCCTTCCGGAACCTTCCGTGCCCTTCTGTGCCTTCTATCCCTTCCGGAACCTTCTGTCCCTTCCGGACCCTTCCGTCCCTTCTGGAACCTTCTGTCCCTTCCGGAGCCTTCCATCCCTTCTGGAACGTTCTGTGCCCTTCCAGAGCCTTCCGTGCCCTTCTGTGCCCTTCCGTCCTTTCCAGAACCTTCCATGCTCTTCCGTGCCCTTCTGTCCCTTCCAGAACCTTCCGTGCCCTTCTGGAACCTTCTGTCCCTTCTTCTAGAAACTTCAGTGCCCTTCTAGAACCTTCCAGAACCTTCCGTGCCCTTCCATCCCTTCAGGAACCTTCCGTGCCCTTCCAGAACCTTCCTTACCCTTCCATCCCTTCCAGACCCTTCTGTGCCGTTCCATCCCTTCCAGACCCTTCCGTGCCCTTCTGTCCCTTCTGGAACCTTCCTTACCCTTCCGTCCCTTCCAGAACCTTCTGTGCCCTTCCATCCCTTCCTGAACCTTCCATCCCTTCCAGACCCTTCTGTGGCCCTCTGTCCCTTCTGGAACCTTCTGTGGCCTTCCATCCCTTCCTGAACCTTCCATCCCTTCCAGAACCTTCTGTGGGCTTTTGTCCCTTCCATCCCTTCTGGAACCTTCTATCCCTTCCAGACCCTTCCGTGCCCTTCTGTCCCTTCTGGAACCTTCCTTACCCTTCCGTCCCTTCCAGAACCTTCTGTGGGTCCCTTCCAGACCCTTCTGGAACCTTCTGTGTCCCTCCATCCCTTCCAAGCCCTTCCAGACCCTTCCGGAACCTTCTGTGGGTCCCTTCCAGACCCTTCCGTCCCCTCCATCTCCCTCCCTCCCTCCCTCCCTCCCCATTCCCGCGGAATTTCCCGTTCCCATTTTTCCAGCCTTGCTCCTCCCCCTCGGGCACAGGGACTCATCCCTAATTAACGAGTCACCCCTAATTAATAAGTCACCCCTAATTAACAAGCTACCCCTAGTTAACGAGCTATTACTAATTACAGGAAATGCCTCAAAGGAGTATTTGCATCTAAAGGAACATTTGGATTTGTTCCCCCCAAAATCCAAAAAAAATCTCCCAAAAAATCTCCCCAAAATTCCCCTTTTCCACCCCAAGTCTTCAATTTTTTTAGGGGCAAAAAATCAGATTTTTTTGGCAAAAAATCCATTTTTTTCTGCAGAAACTCCGATTTTTTTGCTGAAAAATCAGGTTTTTTGTCAAAAAATCCATTTTTTCTTTCCTCTAATCCCATTTTTTCCCCTTTTTCTCCCCAGATTTCTGCATGAACCCGCAGACGGTGCTGCTGCTGCGGGTCATTGCTGCCTTCTGCTTCCTGGGCATCCTCTGCAGCCTCGGCGCTTTCCTGCTCGACGTCTTCGGGCCCAAACACCCGGCCCTGAAAATCACGCGGCGCTACGCCTTCGCCCACATCCTCACAGGTGGGGTCACCCCAAGGAAACCGCCAAAAATCCCCCCAAAATTAAAAAAGAATGGTCAAATTCCACCCGAAAATCACCCCAAAAAATTTAGGCGCTACGCCTTCGCCCACATCCTCACAGGTGGGGTCACCCCAAGGAAACCGCCAAAAATCCCCCCAGAATTAAAAAAAAAGTGGTCAAATTCCACCTGAAAATTACCCAAAAAATTAAAAAAAAAAGTGGTGAGATTCCCTCCCAAAAATCCCCAAAAAAATTTAAAAAAAAAAGGTCAAATCCCTCCCAAAAATCCCCCAAAAAATTAAAAAAAAGTGGTCAAATTCCACCCGAAAATCACCCAAAAAATTTTAAAAAAAAGTGGTGGGATTCCCTCCCAAAAATCCCCCAAAAAATTTAAAAAAAAGTGGTCAAATTCCACCTGAAAATCACCCAAAAAATTTTAAAAAAGTGGTGGGATTCCCTCCCAAAAATCCCCAAAAAATCCCACAAAAATTTAAAAAAGCACGGCAGAATTCCATCCAAAAAACTCCCTCAAAATCCCCTGGAAATTGAGAAAAAAAAGCAACAAATATCCCCATTTTTCCCCAATCTAACCCAACTTTTCCATGTTTTTTCCCATTTTTCCCAAATCTAACCCAACTTTTGCATGTTTTTTTCCCATTTTTCCCCAATCTAACCCAACTTTTCCATGTTTTTCCCCATTTTTCCCCAATCTAACCCAGCTTTTCCATGTTTTTTCCCATTTTTCCCCAATCTAACCAAACTTTTCCATGTTTTTTCCCATTTTTCCCCAATCTAACCCCACTTTTCCATGTTTTTTTCCCATTTTTCCCAATCTAACCCCTTTTTTCCAGTTCTCCAGTGCGCCACGGTGATCGGGTTCTGCTACTGGAGACCCCAGGCCCCAACCCCACCCCAGTTTTACCCATTTTCTGATGGTTTTATCCGTGTTTTTCCCCATTTTTCCCCAATCTAACCCAACTTTTCCATGTTTTTCCCATTTTCCCAGTCCTGCAGTGCGCCACGGTGATCGGGTTCTGCTCCTGAACCTCAGAGCTGCTCCTGGAGACCCCAGGCCCCAATCCCACCCCAGTTTTACCCATTTTCTGATGGTTTTATCCGTGTTTTTCCCCATTTTTCCCCAATCTAACCCAACTTTTCCATGTTTTTCCCCATTTTTCCCCAATCTAACCCAACTTTTCCATGTGTTCCCCCATTTTTCCCCAATCTAACCCAACTTTTCCACGTTCTTCCCCATTTTTCCCCAATCCAACCCAACTTTTCCATGTTTTTTCCCATTTTCCCAGTCCTGCAGTGCGCCACGGTGATCGGGTTCTGCTACTGGGCCTCGGAGCTGCTGCTGGCTCAGCAGCAGCAGCACAAGAAGTACCACGGCTCCCAGGTGTTCGTCACCTTCGCCGTCAGCTTCTACCTGGTGGCCGGCGCCGGCGGCGCCTCCATCTTGGCCACGGCCGCCAACCTGCTGCGGCACTACCCCAGCGAGGAGGAGGAGCAGGCCCTGGAGCTGCTCTCCGAGATGGAGGAGGCCGAGCCCTACGGCCCCGACTACGAGGTGGTCAACCAGTTCCAGCCGCCGCCCGCCTACACGCCGTGATGGCGGTCGGCAGGGTGGTGGCCGCCGTGATGGCGGTCGCCTTGATCCCGGTCGCCGTGATCGTGGTTGTCATGATGGTGGCCACCTTGATCCTGGTCACCATGATCATGGTTGTCATGATGGTGGGCACCATAATGGCGGCCACCTTGATCCCGGTCACCATGATCATGGTTGTCATGATGGTGGTCACCGTGATCCCAGTCACCATGATCATGGTCGTCATGATGGTGGCCACCATGACAGTGGTCACCTTGATCCTGGTCACCATGATCATGGTTGTCATGATGGTGGCCACCATGATGGCGGCCACCTTGATCCCGGTCACCATGATCATGGTTGTCATGATGGTGGTCACCGTGATCCCAGTCACCATAATCATGGTTGTCATGATGGTGGCCACCTTGATCCTGGTCACCATGATCATGGTTGTCATGATGGTGGCCACCATGATGGCGGCCACCTTGATCCCGGTCACCATGATCATGGTTGTCGTGATGGTGGTCACCGTGATCCCAGTCACCATAATCATGGTTGTCATGATGGCGGCCACCTTGATCCTGGTCACCATGATCATGGTTGTCATGATGGTGGCCACCTTGATCCTGGTCACCATGATCATGGTCGTCATGATGGTGGCCACCATGACTGTGGTCACCTTGATCCTGGTCACCGTGATCCCAGTCGTCGTGGTGGTGGCCGCCATCATTGCGGTCATTGTGATCCCGGTCATTGTCATGGTGGCCACCATGATCATGGTCGTCATGATGGCGGTCACCTTGATCCCGGTCACCGTGGTCATGGTCAACGTGATGGTGGCCACCATGACTGTGGTCACCATGGTTGTGGTCACCTTGATGCCAGTCTCCATGATCACGGTCACGGTGGCCACCATCGTTGCGGTCACCGCGATCCCGGTCACGGTCACGGTGGCCACCACGATCGCGGCGGATCGAGTGGACGGAGAGGCCGGATCGTCGCGGGGTGTGGGAGGGTTGGTTGGGGTGGTGTCCGGAGATCTTCCAGGAGAAGATTTGTCCAGGTGGATCCCAGGAACTCTTTCGACGAAGGAATTGTCCAGGTGGATCCCAAGAGATCTTCCAGCAAAGGATTGGTGTGGATGGACACGGGAAGTTCTTCCAGGGGAGGATTTGTCCAGGTGGATCCCAAAAGTTCTTCCAACGCAGGATTTGTCCAGGTGGATCTCGGGAACTGTTGCAGGGGAGGATTTCTCCAGGTGGATCCCAAGAACTCTTTCAGCTTTGGACAGATCCTGGAAGTTCTTCCAGGGGAGGATTTCTCCCGGTGGATCCCGGGAGCTCCTCAGGGGCCTCGATCCCGGAGTTGGTTCCGTGGCTCCGGAGGGACGCCGGGGAGAAGGTTGGGATCTCCTGCTCCAGGTGGGTTTTCCTTGGAATGAGGGGAGTGGGATCCGCCTGGACTGAGAACTTTGGGATCCCCAACTCCCAGTGGATCGAGGAACTTTGGGATCTGGAATTCCCAAGGGATCCAGAACTTTGGGATCTGGAATTCCCAAGGGATCCAGAACTTTGGGATCCCCAATTCCCAACAGGCCGAGAACTTCAGGATCCCCCTGGAATAAGAACTTTGGGATCCCCGACTCCCAATGGATCCAGAACTTTGGGATCATGATGGCGGCCACCTTGATCCTGGTCACCATGATCATGGTTGTCATGATGGTGGCCACCATGATGGCGGCCACCTTGATCCCGGTCACCATGATCATGGTTGTCGTGATGGTGGTCACCGTGATCCCAGTCACCATGATCATGGTCGTCATGATGGTGGCCACCATGACTGTGATCACCTTGATCCTGGTCACCGTGATCCCAGTTGTCGTGGTGGTGGCCACCATCATTGCGGTCATTGTGATCCCGGTCATTGTCATGGTGGCCACCATGATCATGGTCGTCATGATGGCGGTCACCTTGATCCCGGTCACCGTGGTCATGGTCAGCGTGGTGGTGGCCACCATGACTGTGGTCACCATGGTTGTGGTCACCTTGATGCCAGTCTCCATGATCACGGTCACGGTGGCCACCACGATCGCGGCGGATCGAGTGGACGGAGAGGCCGGATCGTCGCGGGGTGTGGGAGGGTTGGTTGGGGTGGTGTCCGGAGATCTTCCAGGAGAAGATTTGTCCAGGTGGATCCCAGGAACTCTTTCGACGAAGGAATTGTCCAGGTGGATCCCAAGAGATCTTCCAGCAAAGGATTGGTGTGGATGGACACGGGAAGTTCTTCCAGGGGAGGATTTGTCCAGGTGGATCCCAAAAGTTCTTCCAACGCAGGATTTGTCCAGGTGGATCTCGGGAACTGTTGCAGGGGAGGATTTCTCCAGGTGGATCCCAAGAACTCTTTCAGCTTTGGACAGATCCTGGAAGTTCTTCCAGGGGAGGATTTCTCCCGGTGGATCCCGGGAGCTCCTCAGGGGCCTCGATCCCGGAGTTGGTTCCGTGGCTCCGGAGGGACGCCGGGGAGAAGGTTGGGATCTCCTGCTCCAGGTGGGTTTTCCTTGGAATGAGGGGAGTGGGATCCACCTGGACTGAGAACTTTGGGATCCCCAACTCCCAATGGATCGAGGAACTTTGGGATCCTCACTTCCCAGTGAAATGAGAACTTTGGGATCTGGAATTCCCAAGGGATCCAGAACTTTGGGATCCCCAATTCCCAACAGGCCGAGAACTTCAGGATCCCCCTGGAATAAGAACTTTGGGATCCCCGACTCCCAATGGATCCAGAACTTTGGGATCCCTACAGATCAAAAACTTTGGGATCCCCAATTCCCTATGGATCCAGAACTTTGGGATCTCCATGGATTGAGAACTTTGGGATCCCCAATTCCCTGTGGATCGAGAACTTCGGGATCCACCATTCTCCATGGACTGAGGACTTTGGGATCTGGAATTCCCAAGGGATCCAGAACTTTGGGATCCCCAATTCCCAACGGATCCAGAACTTTGGGATCCCCAATTCCCAACGGATCCAGAACTTTGGGATCCCCTGGACTGAGAACTTTGGGATCCCCAATTCCCACCAGACCCCAAACTCTGGGATCCCCAGCCCGGCCCCTCTCCAGCTCAGCCCCCCCTTTTCCCACGGGAATATTTCTCCCCCTATTTAAAATTTGGGAATTCCCATCCCCGCTGCCCTTCCCCCCCATGGACATTCTGCACTTTATTCCAGGCTCTGGGAATTCCGGGATCGCCTCCGGGGGTTTTATTTTGGGATCATCCCACAAAATTTGGGAATTTTGGCCTCCCGGGAACTCGGGATGAGCCCTGCTGGAAAATCCCGGAGCTTTTATGCAAATCCCTCCACTCCCATCCCACTTTTTCCCCACAAAATTCCCAATTTTTTCCCCGCTCTGATTTTTCCCAGAATTTTTTTTTTGGGAAAAAAAAAAAAAAAGAAATAGGAAAAAAAAATCCAGTCAGGATTGAAATTCCCAACAAAATTCCTGGAACGCTTGGGCTTGGAGGGGATTTTTTAGGGAATCTCCTGAATTTTTAGGGAATTTTAACCCCAGGATCCGACTCCTCAGAGGTCCTGCTGCTTTTATCCCGATTTTCCCGCTTTTATCCCCATTTTCCTGCTCTTTTTTCCCATTTTTTCTTCCCCCTGGCTATGCAAGAGCTCCCCCGGGAGGGAAATCCCAGAAAAATCCTGGAAAAATAAAAAAAAAATTCCCGGGAAAAAAAAAATTCCCGGGAAAGGCTCAAATCGACCCTAAAAACCCCCGGGGAGAATCCCGGGATTTGGGATCCGCCGGGAAAGGCTTCGGGATTCCCTGGATATGCAAAGAGGGCGCGAATAAATCTGTGACAAATGGGATTTTCGGGAGAGAATTCCCAAAAAAACCCCGGGGACGGGAGGAGGGAGGGCGGCGCTGCCCGGGGATTTGGGATTTGGGAATAGAGGGGTGGGGGTCGGGAGTGGGAGGGGGTGGATCCCAAAAATCCCGATGCCCGGGATCCCCCGCTGGGGGCGTGGCCCCGCCCAAGCCCCGCCCCAAACAGCCCCACCCTTCCAAGCCCCGCCCCTTTCCGCCCTTGCCGCGCCCTTTTCCGGTCTCGTGCACTGGTGGGCGTGGCTTTCTCTTCTGCAGCCAATCACCGCGCAGGGCGGCGCTGCACGGACCAATGGGAAGGCCGGAACCGCCCAGACCCCCACAGCGCCCCATAACAACCCCAAAGAGCGCCAAAAACCGCCCAAAACCCCCAAAAACCCTCAAAAATCCCCAAAAATCCCCAAAATCCCCTCTAAAATTCCTCCCTAAATTCCTCCCCAAATTCCCCCCAAATTTCCCACAAAATTCCCAAAATTCCACCAAAATCCCCTCTAAAATTCCTCCCTAAATTCCCCCCCAAAATTCCCACAAAATTCCCCCAAAATTCCCACCAAATTCCCCCAAAAATCCCTCAAAAATCCTCCAAGAACTTTGGGATCCCCAATTCCCAACGGATCCAGAACTTTGGGATGCCCAATTCCCAACGGATCCAGAACTTTGGGATCCCCTGGACTGAGAACTTTGGGATCCCCAATTCCCACCAGACCCCAAACTCTGGGATCCCCAGCCCGGCCCCTCTCCAGCTCAGCCCCCCCTTTTCCCACGGGAATATTTCTCCCCCTATTTAAAATTTGGGAATTCCCATCCCCGCTGCCCTTCCCCCCCATGGACATTCTGCACTTTATTCCAGGCTCTGGGAATTCCGGGATCGCCTCCGGGGGTTTTATTTTGGGATCATCCCACAAAATTTGGGAATTTTGGCCTCCCGGGAACTCGGGATGAGCCCTGCTGGAAAATCCCGGAGCTTTTATGCAAATCCCTCCACTCCCATCCCACTTTTTCCCCACAAAATTCCCAATTTTTTCCCCGCTCTGATTTTTCCCAGAATTTTTTTTTTGGGAGAAAAAAAAAAAAAGAAATAGGAAAAAAAAATCCAGTCAGGATTGAAATTCCCAACAAAATTCCTGGAACGCTTGGGCTTGGAGGGGATTTTTTAGGGAATCTCCTGAATTTTTAGGGAATTTTAACCCCAGGATCCGACTCCTCAGAGGTCCTGCTGCTTTTATCCCGATTTTCCCGCTTTTATCCCCATTTTCCTGCTCTTTTTTCCCATTTTTTCTTCCCCCTGGCTATGCAAGAGCTCCCCCGGGAGGGAAATCCCAGAAAAATCCTGGAAAAATAAAAAAAAAATTCCCGGGAAAAAAAAAATTCCCGGGAAAGGCTCAAATCGACCCTAAAAACCCCCGGGGAGAATCCCGGGATTTGGGATCCGCCGGGAAAGGCTTCGGGATTCCCTGGATATGCAAAGAGGGCGCGAATAAATCTGTGACAAATGGGATTTTCGGGAGAGAATTCCCAAAAAAACCCCGGGGACGGGAGGAGGGAGGGCGGCGCTGCCCGGGGATTTGGGATTTGGGAATAGAGGGGTGGGGGTCGGGAGTGGGAGGGGGTGGATCCCAAAAATCCCGATGCCCGGGATCCCCCGCTGGGGGCGTGGCCCCGCCCAAGCCCCGCCCCAAACAGCCCCACCCTTCCAAGCCCCGCCCCTTTCCGCCCTTGCCGCGCCCTTTTCCGGTCTCGTGCACTGGTGGGCGCGGCTTCCTCCTCTGCAGCCAATCACCGCGCAGGGCGGCGCTGCACGGACCAATGGGAAGGCCGGAACCGCCCAGACCCCCACAGCGCCCCATAACAACCCCAAAGAGCGCCAAAAACCGCCCAAAACCCCCAAAAACCCTCAAAAATCCCCAAAAATCCCCAAAATCCCCCAAAGAGCCCCAAACCCCCCGCCCCCACGGCTGTTCGGGGGCGTGGCCAGGCTCAAGCCCCGCCCACCGCTTCGCCCCCGTCTCCCGTTCGCCCTCACGCCCCTTTCCGGTATCACGCGCTGGTGGGCGTGGCCTTATCCCTTCTAACCAATCACCGCGCGGGGCGGCGCCGCGCCGACCAATAGGGGCGCGGCGCGGGGCGATGACGCGCTGGAGCGCGACGCGCGGCGCGAGGGACCGGGAGAGGAACCGGGAGCGGCTCCGGGAGCGGCCGCTGGGGAGGATCCCGCGGCCGGTGCGGCCCGGGCGCGCCGCGGGGCACCCTGATGGCCGCGCTCGGTACCGCGGCCTTCGTGTGGGACGGGCAGCGCATCGAGGAGGAGGAGCTGAGGCGGTGAGGGGAGAACGGGGGGAATAACGGGAATGGGGGGAATGGGATACCGGGAATGGTGGGATACTGGGAATACCGGGAATATTGGGAATGGGATACTGGGAATATTGGGAACACCGGGGGTACCGAGAACGGGACATGGGCAACACCGGGAGCACCGGGAGCACCGGGACCGGGACCCGGGGAGCGCTGGGATTACACCCCGGGAATTGGGCTCCCAATCCCGTCAAACCGGATCTCAGGTCGGCGCAGGAGCTGCAGCAGCTGCAGAGCCCCGGGCAGGCCCCGCCGCAGGAGCGCGGCTGGGAGCCGGTGATGGAGCGCGAGCACTTCCGCCTCTGGCGCCGCCCCATCCCGGGCTCCGCGCTCTTCCAGTACCGAGGTGCGCCCCCCGGCTCCCGGAATCCTGAAATCCCAGAATCCTGAAATCCCAGAATCCCGAATTCCCAAAAATCCTGAAATCTCAAATCCCCAAAAATCCTGAAATCCCAAATTCCCCAATTCCCTAAATCCCAAATCCCGAATCCCCAAAAATCCTGAAATCCCAAATCCCCAAAATCCTGAAATCCCAAATTCCCCAAATCCCCAATTCCCAAAAATCCTGAAATCCCAAATCCCCAAAAATCCTGAAATCCCAAATCCCCAAAATCCTGAAATCCCAATTCCTAAAAATCCTGAATTCCCAAATCCCCAACATCCTGAAATCCCAAATTCCCCAAATCCCCAATTCCCAAAAATCCTGAAATCTCAAATTCCCAAAATCCTGAAATCCCAAATTCCCCAAATCCCCAAAAATCCTGAAATCCCCAATTCCCGAAATCCTGAAATCCCAAATTCCTCAATTCCTTCAATCCCGAAATCCCAAATTCCCAATAATCCTGAAATCTCAAATTCCCGATTGGCCAAAAATCCCAAAATCCTGAAATCCCCAATTCCCGAATTCCCTAAATCCCGAAACCCCAAATCCCCAATTCCCAAATTCCCAAAAATCCCAAAATCCTGAAATCCCAAATCCCCAATTCCCAAAAATCCTGAAATCCCAAAATTCTTGAAATCCGAAATTCCCCAATCCCCAATTCCCAAATCCCTGAAATTGCCAAATTCCTGAATTTCCAGAATCCCGAATCCCCAAAATTCCCCAATCCCCAACTTCCCCAAAATCCCTGAAATTCCCAAACTCCGCCCTCTTCCACCACCGAGGTGAGGGATCCTCAAAATTCCAGAATTCCCCAAGTCCCCGGATTTTGGGATTCCCAGGATTTGCTGATTTTTGGGATTTTCCCGCAGTTTTCGGCTCCTACACCGACGTCACTCCCAGGCAATTCTTCAACGTCCAGGTGAGCGGAATTCCCAAAATTCCTGGAAATCCCCAAAAATTCCTTGGGAATTCCTGGAATTCTGGCTGGGTTTTGACTCCAGGGCTGGGAATCTTTGAGAATTCCGGGTGGATCCCAGAAAAACCTGGAAAATTCCCATTTTTGATCCCATCCCAGAAAGTTCCCAATCCCATTTTTCCCAAACATTCCTGGAAATTCTGGATCCGCCCTGAGGGTTTTCTGGGATCGGGGTGGGGGAAGGGATTTTTCCCTGGAATTCCAGGGTTTCCTGGCCTTCCTCATCCCAGTTTTTCCCCATCCCGATTTTCCCAATCCCTGTTTGTCATGATCCTGGTTTTCCCTGGGATTCTGGGTTTTCCTCACCCTGATTTTCTCTGGAATTCCAAGTTTTTCCCAAAATCCTGAAATCCCCAATTCCCTAAATCCCGAAACCCCAAATCCCCAATTCCCAAATTCCCAAAAATCCCAAAATCCTGAAATCCCAAATCCCCAATTCCCAAAAATCCTGAAATCCCAAAATTCTTGAAATCCGAAATTCACCAATCCCCAATTCCCAAATCCCTGAAATTGCCAAATTCCTGAATTTCCAGAATCCCGAATCCCCAAAATTCCCCAATCCCCAACTTCCCCAAAATCCCTGAAATTCCCAAATTCCCCAAATCCCGGCTCCGCCCTCTTCCACCACCGAGGTGAGGGATCCTCAAAATTCCAGAATTCCCCAAGTCCCCGGATTTCGGGATTCCCAGGATTTTGGGATTCCCAGGATTTGCTGATTTTTGGGATTTTCCCGCAGTTTTCGGCTCCTACACCGACGTCACTCCCAGGCAATTCTTCAACGTCCAGGTGAGCAGAATTCCTGAAAATTCCTTGGAAATTCCTGGAAATCCCCAAAAATTCCTTGGGAATTCCTGGAATTCCAGCTGGGTTTTGACTCCAGGGCTGGGAATCTTTGAGAATTCCGGGTGGATCCCAGAAAAACCTGGAAAATTCCCATTTTTGATCCCATCCCAGAAAGTTCCCAATCCCATTTTTCCCAAACATTCCTGGAAATTCTGGATCCGCCCTGAGGGTTTTCTGGGATCGGGGTGGGGGAAGGGATTTTTCCCTGGAATTCCGGGGTTTCCTGGCCTTCCTCATCCCAGTTTTTCCCCATCCCGATTTTCCCAATCCCTGTTTGTCATGATCCTGGTTTTCCCTGGGATTCTGGGTTTTCCTCACCCTGATTTTCTCTGGAATTCCAAGTTTTTCCCTGGCATTCCCATTTTTCTCTGGAATTCCAGGATCTTTCCCCAATCCTATTTTTCCCTGGCATTTTGGGTTTTTCCCCCATCCTGTTTTTCCCTGGAATTCTGGGATTTTCCCTGCAATTCTGGTGTTTATATCCTGATTTTTTTCCCATCATTCTGGGATTTATTCCCAGGTTTTCCCCAGTCCCCTTTTCCTGGGATTTTCCTTGGAATTCTGGTGTTTATATCCTGATTTTTTTCCCATCATTCTGGGATTTATTCCCGGGTTTTCCCCAACCCCTTTTTCCTGGGATTTTCCTTGGAATTCTGGTGTTTATATCCTGATTTTTTCCCCATCATTCTGGGATTTATTCCCGGGTTTTCCCCAGTCCCGTTTTCCTGGGATTTTCCCTGGAATTCCGGGATTTATTCCCGGGTTGTTCCCGTTATCCCGGGTTTATTCCTGGGATTTCCCGCCCGTTTTCCCGGGTTGTTCCCGTTATCCCGGGTTTATTCCTGGGATTTCCCGCCCGTTTTCCCGGGTGGTTCCCGTTATCCCGGGTTTATTCCTGGGATTTCCCGCCCGTTTTCCCGGGTTGTTCCCGTTATCCCGGTGTTGGCCGTTCCCAGCTGGACACCGAGTACCGCAAGCAGTGGGACTCGCTGGTGCTGAAGCTCGACGTGGTGGAGCGCGACCCGGCCACGGGCTCCGAGGTGATCCACTGGGTCACGCAGTTCCCGGTGAGAGAGAGGGGATCTGGGATTGGGATTGGGATTTGGGATCTTGGTTTGGGATTTGGGATCTGGGATTGGGATTTGGGTTCTGGGATTTGGGATCCGAGGTGATCCACTGGGTCACGCAGTTCCCGGTGAGAGAGAGGGGATCTGGGATTGGGATTGGGATTTGGGATCTTGGTTTGGGATTTGGGATCTGGGATTGGGATTTGGGTTCTGGGATTTGGGATCCGAGGTGATCCACTGGGTCACACAGTTCCCGGTGAGAGATTTGGGATCTGGGATTGGGATCTGGGATCTGGGATTGGGATCTGGGATTGGGATCTGGGATTGGGATTGGGATCTGGGATTGGGATCCGAGGTGATCCACTGGGTCACACAGTTCCCGGTGAGAGATTTGGGATCTGGGATTGGGATCTGGGATTGGGATTTGGGATCTGGGATCTGGGATCTGGGATTGGGATCTCGGTCTGGGATTTGGGATCCGAGGGGACTGGGATTGGGATCTCGGTCTGGGATAGAGATTTGGGATCTGGGATTGGGATCTGGGATTGGGATTTGGGATCTGGGATCTGGGATCTGGGATTGGGATCTCGGTCTGGGATTTGGGATCCGAGGGGATCCACTGGGTCGCGCAGTTCCCGGTGAGAGATTTGGGATCTGGGATTGGGATCTGGGATTGGGATTTGGGATCTGGGATCTGAGGGGATCCACTGGGTCGCGCAGTTCCCGGTGAGCCCCTGGGATTCGGGATCTATTTTGGGGTCTGGGATCCAAGTTTGGATCAGGATCAGGATCTGGGGCTGTTCCCTGAGATCCGGGATGCGGCTCAGGGATGGGATTGGGATCCAGATCTGGGATCAGGGATTGGGATCAGGGATGGGATTGGGATCCAGATCTGGGATCAGGGATTGGGATCAGGGATGGGATTGGGATCCAGATCTGGGATCCGGGATGGGGATCAGGGATGGGATTGGGATCCAGATCTGGGATCAGGGATGGGGATCAGGGATGGGATTGGGATCCAGATCTGGGATCAGGGATGGGGATCAGGGGTGGGATTGGGATCCAGATCTGGGATCAGGGATTGGGATCAGGGATGGGATTGGGATCCAGATCTGGGATCAGGGATTGGGATCAGGGGTGGGATTGGGATCCAGATCTGGGATCAGGGATTGGGCCGGGCTCTGACCGCGCTGTTCCCGTTGCAGTACCCGATGTATTCCCGGGATTACGTTTACGTCCGGCGCTACAGCGTCGACAGCGACCGCAACCTCATGGTGCTCGTCTCCCGGTGCGGCATCCGGAAAAACCACGGAACTCCCAGAAAAAATCCCCTGGAATTCCCAAAAAAATCCCCTGGAATTCCCAAAAAAATCCCGCGGAATTCCCAAAAAAATCCCGCGGAATTCCCAAAAAAAATCCCTTCTAGACTTCCCGAAAAATCCCCCATTGAAATCCCAAAAAACCCCTCATGGAATTCCTTCAAATTCCCCCTGGAATTTCCCAAAAAAAAAAAACCTTCATGGAATTCCCAAAAAAACTCTCTGGAATTCCCAAAAACCCCTCAGAATTCTGGGAAAAGCCCATGGAATTCCAGGGGAAAAAAGCCCCATGGAATTCCCAAAAAAATCCCTCCTGGAATTCTGGGAATTCCCACGCCAAAAATCCCAATCATATTTTTGGGGAATTTTTTGGCTTCCCCCCCCCACAGCCTACCCCAAACTTCGGGATGGTCCCGAATTCCCAAAGAATTCCCAAATAATCCCGCAGGGCCGTGGAGCATCCCGGGATTCCTGAGGACCCCGAGCACGTCCGGGTTCGGAGCTACGAATCCCACATGGTGATCCGGCCCCACCGCGGCTTCGACGAGGTGGGGATGCCCAAAAATCCCGGAAAATCCAGGGAAATTCCAGAAAAATGGAAAAATCCAAGAAATTAATGGAAAATCCTGGGATTGTTGTGGGGCTGGTGTCAGTTCTGGGGGTGGGAGTGGGAAAAGGGGGAGGAAAATCCCAAAAATGGGGGGGAAAAGCCCCAAAAATTGGAAAAAAGAAAAAAAAAAAGGGAATTTTGGGGGGAACTTTTGGGAATTTGGGATCTGGGCCAGTTCCTGCCGGGAATTGTTGGGAATTTTGGGGTTTTTGGTGTTTCCCAGAACGGCTTCGATTACCTGCTGACGTACAGCGACAACCCCCAGACCGTGTTCCCACGCTACTGCCTCAGCTGGATGGTGTCCAGCGGTGAGAATTCCCAAAAAAACCCAAATTCCTAAAAATCCCAGGGAAATCCGGGGAAAAAGGAAAGGAAAAAGGGCGAGGAAGAGAAGGAAAAACTGGGGGGAAATCAGGGAGGGGAAAGGGGGAAAAATTGGGGGGAAAAGGAGAAGTTGGGGAAGGAAGGAGGGAAATTGGGAAAGGTGGGAAAATGGTGGGAAAAGGGGTGAAATGGGAAAAGCCAGAAAAAAGATGGAAAAATGGGGTTGGAAAAGGGAAAAATTGGGGAAAAAAATTTAAAAGGGGAAAAAAACGGGGGAAAACTGGGGAAAATTGGGAAAGGGGGTTGGGAATTGTTTCCCACCCTTTGGGGTTGCCAGGAATGCCGGAGTTCCTGGAGAAACTGCACTCAGGGAAAAGGGAAAGTGGGGAGGGAAAAGGGAAAAACTGGGGGGAAAATTGGAAAAGATTGGGGAAAAAGTGGGAGAAATTGGGGAGAAAAGGGAAGAAGAGCAGGAAAAATTGAGGGGAAAATGGGAAAAAATTGGGGGAAAAGGGTAAAAAATTGGGAGAAAATGGAGAAAAAAGTGGAAAAACTGAGGGGGAAAATGGGAAAAAATTGGGGTGATAAAGGGGAAAAATTGGGAGAAAAAATGGAGAAAAAACCAGGAAAAAATGGGGAAAAAACTGGGGGAAAAGGGGGAAGGTCTGGGAGCAGGGTTTGCCAGCGTCTGGGGTCGCCAGGAATGCCGGAGTTCCTGGAGAAACTGCACTCGGCGGCGCTGAAGGCCAAGAAGATGGAGCTGGAGCTGCGCGACTGCCTGAGCCCGGCCAAGGGCCCCGAGCCCCGCGGGGCCGCGCGCCTGGAGTACGCCTGAGCGACGGCGGGAAAACGGCTGGAAAACAACGGGAAAATGGCGGGAAAACATCGGGAAAATGGCGGGAAAAGTTTTGGAAAATGGCAGGAAACAACAAGAAAATGGCGGGGAAACAACGAGAAAATGGCGGGAAAACAACGAGAAAATAGCGGGAAACAACAAGAAAATGGCGGGAAACCAACAAGAAAATGGCGGGAAAACAACAAGAAAATGGCGGGAAACAACGAGAAAATGGCGGGAAAGCAACGAGAAAATGGCGGGAAACCACAAGAAAATGGCGGGAAACCAACGAGAAAATGGCGGGAAACCAATGAGAAAATGGCGGGCAAAGTTTTGGAAAATGGCGGGCAAAGTCCCAGGAAGACTGTGGGGATGGATGGGAAATACCAGCAATAAACTGGGAAAAAACTCTGGGGGGGTGTCCCAGAAGCACTGGAAATAAACTGGGAGAAAAAAAAACCGGGAATTGTCCTGGAAATAACGGGAATAAATTTGGGAGTTGTTCTAAAAGCACCAGGAATTGGTGCGCAAGTCCTGGGAACAAACTGGGAATTGGCCCAAAAAGAAGGGAATAAAGTGGGGAAACACCGGGAATGAGCTGTCCCCAGTGCAGCCGCTGCTCCTGGGGACACTGGGGACCTCCAGGACCTTCCCGTGGCCTCCAGGAATTAGGGAATTTGGGATCCAGGAATTTGGGATCTGGGAGTTTGGGGATCCAGGGGTTTGGGACCCTGGAATTTGGGACTCGGGGATTTGGGGTGGAGGAGTTTTGGGTTCCAGGAATTTGAGATCCAGCACCGAGGCCGAGTCGCATCCCGAAGTTTATTCCAACCTAAAAAAACTCTGTACAAAACATCCGAACCCTAAAACCCAACGGGAACGCGGGAGGGGGATCTGGGGGACCTTACCGGGTTGTTGCTGGGATTCTCTGGGTTTTTCCCGGGATTTTTTTGGATTCTGTGGGATATTTTGGGATTCTCTGAGATTTTTGGGGTTTTACTGGGATATTTTGGGGATCTGAAGGATATTTTGGGGTTCTGAGGGACTTTTTGGGGCTCTCTGGTACATTCTGGGATTTTGCTGGGATTTTTTTAGGATTCTGAGGGTTTTCTCTGGGACATTTGGGATCCTGAGGGATTTTTGGGATCCCCAGGGGGCCGTGGGGCTCAGTCGGAGTCGGAGTCGCTCTCGGCCTCCTTGACGTCCACGCTGAACTTGTACTCCTGGTCGCAGCCCATGTAGGCGTCGCTCATGAAGAACAGCGTGTAGTGCTGCGCGCCCGCCGCCGGCGCCACGAAGTCCAGCTTCACCTGGGGACGTCACCCAGTGTCACCCGGGGTCACCCAGCCCGTGGCACCGTGGTGTGACCTGGCCCAGGGTCACCCAGGTGTCACCCGGGGTCACCCAGCCCGTGGCACCGTGGTGTGACCCAGCCCAGGTGGCACCGTGGTGTGACCCGGCCCAGGGTCACCCAGTGTCACCCAAGGTCACCCAGCCCATGGCACCGTGGTGTGACCCGGCCCAGTGTCACCCAAAGTCACCCAGCCTGTACCACCATGGACTGACCCAGTCCAGCTTCACCCGGGGACGTCACCCAGTGTCACCAGGGACCACCTGGGGTCACCCAACCAGTGGCAGCACGGTGTGACCCAGCCCAGTGTCACCCGGGGTCACTCAGCCCATGGCACCGCGGTGTGACCCAGTGTCACCCAGCACGTGGCAGTTCTGTGTCACCTGGGGTCACCCAGTGTCACCCAGCCTGTGGCACCCCAGTGTCACACAGTGTCACCCCACAGTGTCACCCCCAGTGCCACCCCAGTGTCACCCCAGTGTCACCTTGGCCTTCTGCTGCAGCGTCAGGCGTTTGATGGAGATGAGGCTGTTGGACTTGGAGTCACCGATCACCACCCACCAGCCCTCCTCACGCTTCTGTGGGGACAAAAGGGACATCGGGGACATCAGGGACACTGTCACCTCAGTGCCACCCCCACCCACCAGCCCTCCTCTCGCTTCTGTGGGGACAAAAGGGACATCGGGGACATCAGGGACACTGTCACCTCAGTGCCACCCCCACCCACCAGCCCTCCTCACGCTTCTGTGGGGACGTTGGGGACATCAGGGACATTGGGGACAGTGGGATTAATGGGCTGGATGGGATTGGGATCGATGGGATCCCGACCCCGCGGTACCTGTGGGAACAGGGGGGCGATGACCGGCCCGGTGACCTCCTCCTCACGCTCCAGCTGCACCAGCACCACCACGGGGCCACCGCTGGGGACAACGGGATCAGTGACCCCAAACCCCATCCCAAACCCCAAACCCCGTCCTGATCCCATCCCAAACCCCAAACCCCATCCCAGCCCCACCACGAGCCACCGCTGGGGACAGAGAATGGGATCAGCAACAGCGGGATCACACCATGATCCTGACCCCCATCCCGATCCTGATGACCCCAATGATCCCAATCCCAATCCTGATGATCCCAGTCCTGATCCCAATCCCACACAGACCTGCGGATGCTGTCCCTGTCCCCCGCCTTGTAGGACAGCTCCATGTTGGGGTACCATCCATGGCTGAAGAACCACCTCCATGACCCCATCCCAATGATCTCAATGACCCCAACGACCCCGGTCTCACCTGTGGATCTGTCCCTGTCCCCCACCTTGTAGGACAGCTCCATGTTGGGGCAGCAGTTGCAGAGCCATCCCCAACCCAATGATCCCAATGATCCCAATGAACTCAACGATCTCAATGATCCCAATGACTCCAACGACCCCAATCCCATCCCAACGACCCCACTCCCATCCCAATGACCCCACTCCCATCCCAATGACCCCAATCCCATCCCAACGACCCCACTCCCATCCCAACGACCCCACTCCCATCCCAATGACCCCAATCCCATCCCAACGACCCCAATCCCATCCCAATGACCCAGTCCCCACACCGCTGACCCCGCTGACCCCGGTCTCACCTGCGGATGCTGTCCCTGTCCCCCACCTCGTAGGACAGCTCGATGTTGGGGTAGCGGTTGCAGAAGCGCGCCACGTCGGCGATCTGCGCCTCGGGCAGCTGCAGCAGCGCTGTGCGCTCCTCATCCTCCATCTCCATGATGTCGAACACACTCTCCACGCCCTGCAATGCCCACAGTCGGCCCAAGGTGTCCCCTGGGTGTCCCCAAGGTGCCCCCTGGGTGTTCCCAAGGTGCCCCCTGGGTGTCCCCAAGGTGTCCCCTGGGTGTCCCCGGGGCTGTACCTTGTCCGTGCAGCGTTTGATGTGCTCCGAGGTGAAGTGGGGCAGCTGCTTCAGGTACGAGTCCTTGGACCACATGGCCTGAGTGACCATCTGGGCCAGCTCCATGGCGGCCAGCGCCGGGCTCAGCCACCCATTGCTGGACAGCACGTCCACGCAGGCCTGGATCAGCCGGATGGCCTGGACACACGGACAGGGAGGGACAGGGATGGTCAGTGGCATGGACAGGATAGGGACCCCATGGGATGGACCCAGGCTGGAGCAGCTCCTGCAGAACTGACCCCATTGAAGAGTGACCACATGGAGAACTGACCCCATGGTGGGACCCAGGCTGGAATCCCAGCAGAACTGACCCCATGAGATGGAATTCCTGCAGAACTGACCCTAGGGGATGGAATTCCCGAAGAACTAACCCTAGGGGATGGAATCCCAGCAGAACTGCCCCCATGGGATGGAGCAACCCCCGGAGAACCTCAATATCCCGCCCCGCTTTCCTCGGCCATAAATCCCACCCCAAATCCAGCCCATTTTCCCATGACAGATGGGGGATCCCTCCAGCTCCTCATCCCAAGAACCCTTTGCTGTGTGCCCCGAGCGGGGTTTTGGGGTCTGGGGTCCCACCTTGCTGAGGATCTCCTCGGTGTCAGACTGCAGCTCGGCGCTCAGCTGCATGCGGGACAGGTGGGCCTGGAGCAGCAGGTTGGTCTTGACGTGGGGGTCGTTGAATTTGGGGTTGGTCAGTTTGTGGGGCACCTTCTGGGACAGCTGGGGGTGGAGGAGAAACCCTTTAGTGCCCAACCCCCAAATCGGTGCTGGACCCCAAAAACAGTTTCATCACCGGGGTGGAGGAGGGAGAGAGGTTTGGGATTATGGAATGAACGCAGTTGGGATTGTTGAGTGCTCATCCCATCCCACCCCATCGATCCTACTGATCCTATTCTCAACCCATCACATTGATCCTGTTGATCCCATCCCATTGATCCCATTTATCCCACAGATCCCAGACCTGGAGCAGCAGTTGTCCTCGTGGTGCTGGATGGGGATGTTCCCATGGATCTCATTGATCCCACTGACCCCATTCCATGGATCCCAATGATCCCAATGATCCCGTTGACCCCATCCCAATGATCCCATCCCCATCCCAGACCTGGCGCAGCAGGTTGTCCTCGTGGTGCCAGAGGGGGATGTTCCCCTTGATCCCATCCCACTGACTCCATCCCATGGATCCCAAGGATCCTGTTGGCCCCATCCCAATGATCCCATCCCCATCCCAGACCTGGCGCAGCAGGTTGTCCTCGTGGTGCCAGAGGGGGATGTTCCCCTTGATCCCATCCCACTGACTCCATCCCATGGATCCCAAGGATCCTGTTGGCCCCATCCCAATGATCCCATCCCCATCCCAGACCTGGCGCAGCAGGGTGTCCTCGTGGTGCCGGATGGGGATGTTCCCATGGATCCCACTGACCCTATCCCATGGATCCCAATGATCCCGTTGACCCCATCCCAGTGATCCCATCCCAATCCCAGACCTGGCGCAGCAGGTTGTCCTCGTGGTGCCGGATGGGGATGTTCTCGTACTCGGCGGCGTTGGAGATGATCTCCAGCAGCCCCCGCACCTTGGTCTTGGCGTTGAGGGACATGCTGAACAGTTCTGGAGGAAAACACACAAAAATTGGGAATTTTGGCAGGAAAACCCAAAGCCAGGGATTTTTCTGGAAGGAAAATTAACAAAACAAGGGATTTTTTGGGACAACACAGCAAAACTGGGATTTTTGAGGGGGGGAAACCAAGATTTTTTTTGGGGGAAAACACCAAAACCCATAGATTTTTTTGGTTGAAACCCCCAAACCCATGGGGTTTTTTTTGGTTGAAACCCCTAGACCCATAGATTTTTTTGGCTGAAATCCCGAACCCCATAGATTTTTTGGCATCAAACCCCCCACCCCACGGATTTTTGGGGGGAAAAGAGCCGAATCGCGGGGTTTTGGGGCACCTATGGTGGTGTAGTTGATGTAGTAGTAGGCGGCGATCATGCCCAGGTTGAGGGGTGCC